CTGGGGGTCTCCCGGTATAATGGGTGCTCCTCAGGCACCCTAGCCTTATGGGCTACGCGTGGCTCCTACCACCCCTAATACCACGCCCCAAGCCTCGCTGATGGGATAGACGCTGTCTGGTCAAAATACACGCCCGCTCTTGGGCCTCCTCTACAATAGGGCAGTCCCCTCGGGGACGTCCTCTCGGTCCACCAGTCCTCTAGGCTCACCGCACTAATACCCTCTCTGGTACGGGCTCCCTGCGCTGCTATCCCTTTTTCGGGGGACAACCACAGCACCTTGCCCTTCTCCTGGGGTGCTGTGCTACTAACCCCTTCCGTCAGGGTCCACCGCGGCACGCCGCCCCCGTCCTGGGTTTCCCTATGGTGCAGGCCTATTACCGGGTTCACCACACCCATTCTGGGCTTCTTAAATATCGCCCTTCTCGGGCTCCTCAATATTGCCCCTATCGGGCTCAGTATGGCCCCTCTCGGACTCATCAGTAATTGCCCCTCCTAGGGCTGGGGTCTATGCACCCCACAAGTGACACCCTTGCTGGCGTCCGCCGGGCCTGTCCTGGGCTCCCCAATATGGCGCTCCCCCACTTTGGGGCTCACCGTGCCCGGCTTGGGCTTCGCAATAGACCAATATGGCGCTCCCCCTCTTTGGGGCTTGCCATGCCCGCCTTGGGCTTCTCAACGCTGCCCCACTCTGGGGCTGGAGTCTACGTACCCCGCATACAACCCGGGGTCTGTTCCCTGCCCGCAACCCACTGGTTGCGCTAAGGGGCCCCACACCTCTGGGGTCCCTATGAGGCCTCCTCCAACCCCTACAGCCTCACCCAAGCCTCCTGTATAATATGTAAGCCGAACATAAACTCGAGCCTCCTGGCTGTAACACAAACATAAAACCTCCTGGCTAAACCATAGTGCCCAATCCTCTCAGGGCTATAGTGAGCTGTACTTGCAAGTCAGGCTTCTTCCCATATCTTGGCTGAGGGAGCTCCTGCCTCTCCGACTGCTGGCAGAGAACTGCCAGCCTGGCCTCAGCCCTGGGCTTTATAAGGACCAGGCCCTGCCTCCTACAGGCAGCTGGCTCTCCTTAGTTGCCCCGGCAACCCGCAGCTGGGCTCGTTACCCTGGCAACACTCAGCTGGGCTCGTTATGACCTGCCAGGGCTCTGTCTCTCTCCCTGGCAGTTTCTCCTCTCTAGGAGCAGAGCACCCAGGTGCTCTGTGACATGAGGTAGAAGTGAAGATAGTTGACACTAATATTTACAACAAATGAATAAGCCAGCAAAGTGTGTAACAGCTTGGCGTGCAACAGAAAAAAAGGCTACAGACAGCTGTCCTTGCAATGTGTTGTGATTTAGGATGCTCTAAAACATCATTAGTTCAATTGACTATATGTTTAACTGGAGTGTGTCAGTGGTTCCTCTGAGTGCACAGCTGGTCAGAACAATGAACACCATCTCTCTACATTAAACTGCAGTGGAATAAGCAAATCCACATTGCTCATAAACTACAGTATGGCATGTCCCACAATACGGATCACCGAATCACGTGGGCTGTGTAATTGCTGGCGGGGACAGAACTGTAATTGGGTACACGTGCCAAAAACACCACTTGGGTGGCTAGAAAACTGCCGTTCAGTTGCACTAAAGAGAACAGCCTCCTGCCCTCGGCTCCCGTGCAGCACATTCCTCTTTCCATCTCAGTGCACTCCATGAAACAAGGAAGTATCGACATCCCCGTAGCATAGGTGGGGAAACCAAGTCCCAGAGATTTGACGTGACATCACAGCAATAATTTGCAGCTAGTGTTCCCGCGTCTGACCCTAGTGTCCTCGGCAACAAGGTGACAGCACTCGGCAAGGATGCAGCAGTCCTGCCTCTGGGATCGCAAGCCAGGATCAGAGTTGGTAGCTGAGGAAAATGGTCCTTTTAACAAGTGTCTCTGAAAGAGACTTTGTTATCCACACTGGACCATCCCCAGCAGGTTGCTAAACAAGATGTTGGATCGAAGTAATGACCTCCAAAGACCCGAGTCAGACTGGAGGAAATAAGCAGAAACAATAAGCATCTGCTATAAATGCAGGATGTTATTTAGCCAGAAAGAAGCTGGCAAACAATGCTGCCAGCCCTGGGTGCTCTCGCTGCAGTCCAGCATAGCATCTATTC